AAAAAAAAAAAAAAAAAAAAAAAGAATGTCCAGTGCAGTTACATTCATAAAGGTCAAAAAGTGGAAAAAATCTCAATTTTCATCGATAGGAATATGGATAAGCAATTTTAGTTTATCCATAAAATGATTAATATAAAGGAATAAGCTACTAACACATGCAGCAACATGGATGAATCTCAAAAACAGACACAAAAGAATATATGATTTCATTTATATAAAGTCTAAGAACAAGCAAACCTAATCTGTCATGCTAGATATCAGACCAGTGCTTTTATCTTGGGGAAGCCTGGAAGGGGGAATGGAGGAGCTTTGTGTGTGGGGGGGGGTGATGGAATGTTCTGTCTTGATCTGGGTTATGGTTACCTGGATATATTTATGTATTTTAAAGTTGAGCTGTACTTTTAAAATCTGTACCTTTTACTGTATATAAGATACCTTAATAAAGTACTGTTGGTATAAAAAGAAAAAAGGAAGAAGAAAACACTTTGGTAATGAGGGAAAAAAGGAGGCTTCAAAGCCACTGATGAGGACTTGAGATGATCAAAAATCTTTGCTGTCTTCCCCCATGAACAGCATCGGATGTGTGTGTCCAGTACGAGGAAAGGGAAGGGAACTGCCAAAGGATCATGCCACCCACTATGATGGACTGTTACTAGAAGTGGCGAGGTCACACATGGTGCCCAGCGTAGTGAATTAGATGGAAGGGAACCCAATAAAATACTGCTGAATTAAGTTGTTATTTAAACATCTTTTGCCTTTGGGCCAGCCTCAACCTCCTCCCACGCACCCCAAGAAGGGCATCCTGAGTGGGAGCCACCCTTTCCAGCTCTCCTCTAAGAAGGGGCATCTCAGCCTTTTCCTCTTTATCTTCTCTCACTCTCAGGAGCTTCAGAAATACGAGCAGTTCATCTTTGCGGATCACACCAACATGATCCACGTGGAAAATGTCTATGAGGAGATTTTACACCAGATCCTCCTTGATGAAACCCTGAAAGGTAAGGAAGGTCACCTGGTGCCGGGAGGAACTCCCCGCAGAGGGGGGTGCTCCCAAAGTAGGACTCGTAAGGCCAGTGGAACTGAGTGGGCGAGGTGGGGGACCCCCGGGAGTGGGGGGAGGGCAGGAAGGACACTCACCCTGCCTGTGCATTCACGACGTGCACGCACTGTGCTGGCCCTTTGGGTGTTTATTTTCTCTTTTGGTACAAATATGAACTCTGTGAGATGGGAATTTTCAGCTTCGTTTTGCAGATGAGAATACTGAGGCTTAGTGAGATTAATCCTTGGGTGCGTCATGACAAAAGAAAAAGGGCTCTTCTCAGGCACAGGCTCACGACCCCTCCCAGAGCCAACAGGAGGGGACTCCAGCAGCGAGGCTTCTGCCCTGTGCCCTCGGCACCTTCCTGGCCTCCCTCCAGCCAGGCAGAGAAGGCACAGGGCGATGGCACGGTACCCTGCACGCCTGGTTAGGACTCGAGCATCTGATGTCCTGTGGAATCAGGCCTCGCCTGGGATTGCAGTGTGGATAGGGAACTTTTATAAAAACATGCTGGAGAGGGCCACCATCAAACTGTGCACCTAAAACAGGAGTAAACTCCATTGGAAGGTCTTGAGTAGGCGTCCTCAAACTACGGCCCGAGGGCCACATGCGGCCTGCGGGTGTTTTTGCAGCCACTGCCTGTCCTGCTTAGCAGCCCACTCATCCGGGGCCCATAGTGCACATGTGTGGAATGTGCCCCGCACTCTCCAACAGCCCTCCAACGGTCTGAGGGACAGTGAACTGGCCCCCTGTTTAGAAAGTTTGGGACCCCTAGTCTTGAGTATCACAAAAACCCCTCTACAAAGAAAACTAACCGAGAACAAGCCCCCAGGCCACAGTAGCTCATCACGGGGGATCCAATGAGATAAGGAATGTGAAGGTGTCAGCACAGTGTCGGCATCAAGGAAGGGCTGGGTCCAGCCCACTGCCAGCCCGCCACTGCCAGCCCACCTTTGGGTTTAGAAATAGACTCCTATGTCTATGGCTGTAGCAGCCTGAACCTGCCCCATCTCGTCTGATCTCAGAAGCTAGGCAGGGTCAGGCCTGCTCAGTACTTGGCTGGGAGAAAAAGACAGCTTTCCTAGACACTTCACTGTGTCAGAAAATTATCTCAGTATACAGATTTTCTTAGAGAAGAAAACTCTACTGCTAGCTGCTGAAACATTATGCTGACACAAATCTATGTGGTCTTTGGTCTGAATGCCACCCCCTTGGATGTGACATTACTGGGCATTACAACCTCTGCACAGGCATACGCAGAAGCCTGTGGTAAAAAACGTCAGCTGCTGTTATTGTTTTTGCTTCCCTCCAGATGATGGAGACTGAGCTTGGTACACAGAGATCTCCATTTGGGACACTTCAGGTCCACACGGCCCCCCATGTGCCTGCTCGTTGCTGGGTGCACATTACACATTCAGGTCACACTGTGGGAAGAAGAGAAGTGGAAGGTCTGCCCCCGCCCCAGAGGAGTTTCAGTCCGGTTGACAAACTGGCGCCACATATATTAGCAGCTAATAAAATGTGCTAGGGCCTCCTTGGGTGATACAGATGATGCGATTGTAGGCCACGAGTGCCTTGAACGCAAAGGCCGTGTGTTGTTCATCTCTGGATTCCCAGTGCCCGTCCCATGTTAGCTGCCCAGCAAATATTTGCTGTTTGAATAAGCGAATGGATGAACACTACAGAGGCGCAGGGTTTGGAAAGAGTTCAGGGTCTTCTGGTCTTCAGGGAAGGCTGCCTGGAAGAGGGTGGTATTTGAAATTGAGAAATGAGGTTAGCCAGAGAGGCTGAGAGGGGGCTTTGTGGCTTCTCAATAAAACCAGAAAATCCAGGCCTGGCCAGGGTTAGGGTGTTAATGCCACGTTTTGTTTTCTGTGGTCTTTCAGTGATAAAGGAAGCTGCGAGCCTGAAGAAACACAACTTATTTGAAGACAACATGGCCCTGCCCAGCGAGAGCGTGTCCAGCTTAACAGATCTGAAAGTCCCCACGGGGTCCGGCCAGGCCAGCCCTGCCAGGGGGGCCTCTGCCGTCCCGCCGGGCGTGCTGGGCGGGGAGGCCCTGAGTAGCGAGGTCTTCCAGGAGGCGGAGGAGAAGGAGCCGGGGGCCCGGGGCGCGCCGGCCACGGGGGAAGGCCCTCCGCCCGGTGGGGCCGGGCAGGTGACTATCTCCAGCACGGGCGGTCCCGTTGGGACTCGTGTGGCCGCAGAGGACACCGCGGGGCTCCCGGGCGCTGGCCCCTCAGAGCTGGAGTCCCGAGGGGCCCCGGAGGCCGAAGGGCGCGAGTCGGGCCCTGCCTCAGGCTCCCTGCAGGAGCTCAGGAAGCTGTTGACGGAGACGGTGGAGGTGCCCGCGGAATCTGTCCTAGCAACTGACGAAGATACGAACGAGGAGCCCCTCGGTCCCCAAGAAAATGAGAAAGGAGCGGCGGAAACCCAAGTCTACACTGAGGCCCGTCAGGCGGCGGCCTCCCCTCAGGACGACCGCGAAGACGCGGAAGCCAGCGAGAGGGAGGCGCGTCCTCCTCCTGCGGAGGCCGAGGCCCCTGGCGGCGGGCTGGGGGGCTCCGCAGAGGGTCGCGGCCCCCTCGCCCCGCCGGCCTGCGCGGGGCTCCCCGAGGGTGGCCGCTGCCCAGGCCCCACGGAGGAGCCCGCAGGGGAGGCGTCCACACTGGCCGCCCCGGGGGCGGGAGAGGCCGAGAGTGCCTCGGCGGGAGAGGCCACGCTGCAGGAAGGTCGCGCGTTGGGTTCGGGCCCCGCCAGCCCCGGGGGCTGCCCGGCGTCTGAGGGACGGGCACGGGCGGGCGGGGAAGGCAGCCCCGGCCCGGCCGCCGCGGGCGCCAGCACAGAGGCGACCCCTGCCGCCCGCGCCCACGAGTGCCAGTGGGTGGTGGAGGACGCCGCCGCCCTCGAGTCTCCGGACGGGGACGGGAAGGAGGGAGCAGGCGCTCAGGAGAGCTCCCCAGAGCAGCCCTCCGAGTAGCGAAAGGGACGTTTGGCAGAAGTCTTTCTTTGGCAAAGCCAATCAAAGGGTTACAGTGATGGCCACACTTAGGGGTTGCGTGTGAGTTGTTACCAAAAATTAAAAAAAAAAAGATGTATTAATTATTTCCTTAATTTGAAAACTAAAAGCAGAGGAAATGCACGCAGGGCGAGGCAAACCTTTGTGGAATCTAACTGTCCTACCATGCATTGTTGCTTAAGTGTTTCAACAGGAATTACAAAGGCAACGTCCAGCTTGGGCTGAGGGAGCCAGGGGTGTCTGAGGGGGAGTGGTATCGCAGTGAAGACTGAGAAAGCAGTAAGAGCACGGTTTTCGATACACTCTGCACATTTCCGTGGTGCAATATTCTTATGCACTTTAAGGCTTTTTAATTTCGTATATGAATACAAATGTATACTGCAACTCTAGCTGCACCATCTACTATGCCAACTTCACCGTCTCTTAAGAACTCAGCATTTGTCCGCAGCCAGGCTGCACGAAAGAGGAGTTCATGAGCAGTCACCCCTGCCGGGCACAGCCACACAGGGCCAAGTGTGCCCCACAGATCCAGTGAAAAGCTGAACAGAAATGGAGGGAGGAAGGTGTGGGCTGTGGGGTTGTCTGGCTTGTTACTAATCCTGCTATCACTTTCTTATTAATTAATCTTGTTGATTCGTAGGAATTAATCACCTTTTAAGAAAATTCAGATGAGGCAAGAAAATCTCACTGGTGTGTGTGAGAGTGACAGCATTCCAAATTAGCCTTCCACTGTTAAGCAAAGGGCTTAACTAAGTTGTCAGGCTTAAAACCTGCCAGTTAAACAAACATTGTTTGAACAGCCACTGCATGCCACGTACTGTATTGGGCTTAGGAATTAAAAAAAAAAAAAAGATAAGGTGCTTGTTCTAGTGCGCATTAAAAGGCCCCAGGGAATTTGATCTAGAAGAGGAAACATGCTAATTTTCAAACTATGACAGCTTTCTTTCTTTCCATTCAAACAGTCCTGATTCCTTCCCAGAAGGGAATGAAATGAATAAATAAGTAAATGGATTATGACAAAGCCAAGGTATATACCATCAAGTTCCAAAATTGTTACCAAAAATAGAAATCATTTGTTTGGTCATTCAGCAAGTTAATTGAGTCCCTGTCAGGTACCAATCTCTAGGGATACCATAGCGAGAAAGACTCTGTTCTTTCCCCCTGGAACTTACATGCTAATGGAAATAGACACAAATACATCTTCCAAATTGATCATGACCTATAACCATTAATGTTAAAGACAAAATGGACTTACTTGTAGAAGATGAAGAAGAGTGTTCTATTTATTATGCTTCAGAAAAATACCAGATTATTTCCCCAAATTTTCAGTCCCAGGTACTGCATCTTGAAGTTTCTTTCCACAGATATTAATATTACATCCCAACATATTGTCCTAAGAGTTTGTTTTTATCATCACCATCCAGTAAGTTTATATCAGTGCTTTAGAGAATTTGCCCCATAATTCAACCATTGAACAAGGAATTATAATATTGTCCTCCCCACCCCATGAAGAATTTTTTGATTTCTAGGTGATAAGTAATGAATAACATCAGGCCAGGTGCTGCGGTGGCTCACGCATGTAATCCTAGCACTTGGAGGGTGAGGCGGCGGATTGCTCAAGGTCAGGAGTTCAAAACCAGCTTGAGCAAGAGCAAGACCCTGTCTCTACTATAAATAGAAAGAAATTAATTGGCCAACTAATATATATAGAAAAAATTAGCCAGGCATGATGGCGCATGCCTGTAGTCCCAGCTATTCGGGAAGCTGAGGCAGGAGGATCACTTGAGCCCAGGAGTTTGAGGTTGCTGTGAGCTAGGCTGACGCCACGGCACTCACTCCAGCCTGGGCAACAAAGCGAGACTCTGTCTCAAAAAGGAAAAAAAAAAAGTAATGAATAACAATCAGTGTCCATATGCTCACATATTGAATTGCTATATGTTTTCTTGGGGTGTTTGGATCCTCAGGTCTAGGAGGGATCCCATTGTCGGTAAAGAAGGTAGAGGCCGCTTCTCCCTTGGTCCCTGCGTCACCCTGGGCCTCACTCCTATCCTGGCATTTAGCACGGGGCATTGAAATTATGTTTACTTCCTGTCTCTCCCAGAGGCTCCTGTCTTCAAGGACAGAAACTCGGGTTTAGTCATCATGTGCGCTTCCTGCTAGTAACCCGCAGCTTTGAATAATGGCTTCCTACCTCCTCAAGACTTTAATATCCCCGGCACCTAGCACAGGAGCGCTCAGGAAACATGGGAACTCCACACCCGGCACGCCGCTGTGCTGGGACAACTTGGGGCTTGCTGCCAGGCAGGGAGACAGACGGTTTTTAATAGAACTTTCTGCTCCTGTTGAGTCTTAAGTCCAAAGTCCAAGGAGCAGGCGGCCAGTTGCGCTGCCCAGTAGGGCAGGGAGCCAAAGGAGCAGCGCCTGGCCCTGCAAAGACTGCCCCTCTCTCCAGGGCACAGGCCCAGCCCAGGCTGGCCCCACCTGGAGCTTCCCAGCTTCCTCCCTTTGCTCACCTCAGGGCTTCTTGCACCCCCTGGAAGCTGAGAGATGTTTTTTTTCAACCCTAAAAGAAAGTGCATTTCGCTGCATTGAATGGATGAACATCAGCGCCCTTCCTTCATTCACCCTGGGGGCCAGAGAGCACTGGGCACTGAGTGGCAGGACACACTCAAACAATTTTTCTGGATATATTTCACAAAAGACAAGTTCTCTAGAATAAGCAAGACGATTGTTTCATTTGAAGATGGAACAGGAAACTAAAGTGCTAAAATATTCTGTATTCATTTTAACATATTGAATGGAATGACTTCCTATTACAATGAGTTTATCTTGCTTTTTGTACAGACTTGTAGGTGCTGCTTCAGTGATTTCCAGATTGGAGCAAGGTTATTGTGATCTAAATGAGCAGCACGAAAAACTTCCGCATGCTGCTCTGGGGATCTCTCCTGTGGGCAAAGACATTAGAAATGCATGAAACCTTAAGACATGGCTTTTGGCTAAAACTTAATGACTTTAAACTAGTTATGTTACTGTTGACCTTTCACAAAGAAAGAATATTTTCCTTGAAAAAAAAAAATGAGCTCACTTTTCCTTTGTAGCTTGGAACAGAGACAGTAGTGCCTTGCATTATGCAGTGTAAACTCTCTTTTCAAAAAAAAAAAAAAGGGTTTTGGAGACTACAAAAATAAGACTCTAATTTTTCCAAAAGCTTTCTGACCTTATGCATTTTATTATAAAGCTTCTCGAGTCTGATGTTGTAATCGTTCATATCAGAGCTAGTGATTTCGAAGGGTTTCACAATTCTCCCAGACAAAAGTGATTTTAATGCATTTTAACAAGTGCTAAGTGATATGTGCTTCACAGCAGTGTCAATATGGGGAAGAGAAGGACATCTCTGACTTAAACATAAGTTGGCAACATATGCCTTCTTATTTTACTATAAACACACAGCCTTCTATAGACTGCAACTTCAAGAAAAGAAATCTACACTGTGGCTTGATTTTTCTGGTCACTATATAAAGTAAATACTTAAAACACTTTGTAACCACGTATTTACTTTGCCAAGTGCCTATATTCTAATAAAATATTTGTCCTTGAAGAGCTGTCCAGATGTTATTTATTTGGAATAGGGCTGGTTTCATCTTTTAAGCAAATGTCATACTTAAGCTGGGAGGAACAGCCCTCAGAAATGAAAAGGTGAGTCACTCTTGGTGTTGTTATGGAATTTTTACTTTTCTGTTGTCAGGAAGGAATCTACAGGGAAGCCACTTAATGTCAGGTGTAATTACAATGCATATGCTTATTTCTCTTAGGAATTGGATCACATCCCTAATACAGCACTGGGCAATTACTCTTGACATAACTGAACCGCTGTTCAAACTTAAATTTATTTTCAGTGGGTAGCATTGAGCAAAACATTCATTCTTTCTGTAATCATATAATAAATAAAACAGTATTTATTCACCATATCCATAGTTGCTCATTTCCCCGTGAAATTATTCATCCAAAAATAATGACCGTGTATCTGTTACATGCAGGCACTCCAGTGGGTCGTAGAGAGACAGCAGTGAGCACAGTAGACATGGCCCCTGACATCAGCAAACGCAAATTGTCAGGGTGTGCATGGCCGGGGAGAGCCCAAACCCTGTCTATCAGCTCAGCTCTAACTCCATCTACACCAACAGCTTCAGGCAAGAGAGGAAGAAATGTTGGGGAAATCAAGTCCAGCAGTGATGGGGACACTCAGTATGGCATAAACTTTCTCCTTGTCCTCTGTCTATACCAGACTTCCAGTATGCAATAATCAATCCATTTTAACAAGTGCAGAGTTTTTTCTTAGACTATATATTTATTGGATGTGGCTTGGGCAGGACTGATGGAGGCCCTGGGAGTGGTCAGCTAAAGCTATCCTCTCCTCAGACACCCTGGGAGTTGCCCCTGCTTGAACATGGCTGAATCTTTGCCATATTCTTTCCTTTGCCTAAAATATCTGGCTCTCCCTTCTCCATCTGGCCCATTCCCACTTTTCCTGTAAGAGTCAGGAAAAGTCAGGATAATCCCCACCCTGCCCCCACAGCCGATAATACCTTTCTGAACTCTCACCCTAATTCACTTGCCCGCTGCTGGTCATCTTCTCTCACTCCAATGCAGCCATCTCCCTTCCCTGTGCCCTTGGGGCAGGTACCTTGCCTTGTACCCTTGCATATAGCAGTACATGCTGAATGCATTGAATGACTATCACCCGTCCCAGATGTAGGAGACAAGTGGGTATAGCTAGTGATCCCTTAGCGTACCAAAAGTGTCTGGATCTGGTGGCTTTACTCACCCTCAGCCTACTTAGATAATTCTGCTTTAGTGATGAAACTTGACCGTGTGTTTTTGTACACCCACACCTCTGGGAGGGAGCCTCAGAGTTAAGTTACTCCCAAATCAAGCTACCTACTAGGAATCACCTCCTGGTTTTCAGGTCAGTAGCCTCTACTGGATTCTCCTAAGGTCTCTGCGATGTAAACAATGCAAAATGGTTAAGAAATTCATCCCTGAATTGCACCCAAGTCTGCTAAACGCTGCTAAGCAAATGCCAAGAGTTCATGGACAGCATATGCCTCTGGCAGGCTGTCTTGTGGTTGGGCAGGGAGCAAGAAAAAGATGTAATCCCTGCTTCTTAGGGAGCTCTGTCCAGTTGGGAAGACTGAGAAGCAAATTGTTCTGCACGAAAAGGAAGAAGGAGGCCAGGTGCGGTGGCTCACACCTGTAATCCTAGCACTCAGGGAGGCTGAGGGGGGCGGATTGTTTGAGCTCAGGAGTTCGAGACCAGCCTGAGCAAGAGTGAGACCTGTCTCTACTAAAAATAGAAAGAAATTAATTGGCCAACTAAAAATATATAGAAAAAATATTAGCCGGCATGGTGGTGCATGCCTGTAGTCCCAATTACTTGGGAGGCTGAGGCATGAGGGTCACTTGAGCCCAGGTGTTTGAGGTTGCTGTGAGCTAGGCTGACACCATATCACTGTAGCCCAGGTGACAGAGTGAGACTCTGTCTCAAAAAAATAATAAAAAATAAAAAAAGGCCGGTCGCGGTGGCTCACGCCTGTAATCCTAGCTCTGTGGGAGGCCGAGGCGGGCGGATTGCTCGAGGTCAGGAGTTCAAAACCAGCTTGAGCAAGAGCAAGACCCTGTCTCTACTATTAATAGAAAGAAATTAATTGGCCAACTAATATATATGGAAAAAATTAGCCGGGCATGGTGGCGCATGCCTGTAATCCCAGCTAATCAGGAGGCTGAGGCAGAAGGATTGCTTGAGCCAAGGAGATTGAGGTTGCTGTGAGCTAGGCTGACGCCACGGCACTCACTCTAGCCTAGGCAACAAAGCGAGACTCTGTCTCAAAAAAATAAATAAATAAAAAAAGAAGAAGAAGGCTTCTGGCAACACAAAGAAAGGCAATTAATTACTGACTCTACCCAAGAAATTTCAGGTTTTGCTGTTGAACCTACTAAGCCTTTATTTCTTGCGTCTTTTATTTCCCCTCTTCCATGAACTAAAATCCAAAATCTAGCTGCTCACCCTGAGGAAAACTTTACCAAGACCCCTTTATGCCAGCCCCTACATGCTCTTCCCAGGAATCCGGGTCCTTTCTGCCGGATGCCGTTTTAGACGTGCAGACTCAGTCGTTGCTCCCGCTCAGGTCGCTACACCAGGCGGTATACACACATCGTAGCAATAACTCTCTCTGTGTTAGCATTTCTAAGCGGGTGGGACAGGACACAGTCAGAATAGGAAAGTGGATTATGTGTTGAGGAACTCCTACAAGACAGTAAGGTGACTTCGAGGCTAAGAGGTGGATTTTCCTGGTACGACTTCAACTCCCACATCCCTCTGCCTCTGCAGTCTGTGCTGCAGCCCGAACCATGTGGGGACAAGGTTTTCTGTACATTGGTTTGAGAAAGATCATGTGGGAGAAAAGGAAGGTGTGTTTATTTCTGTGTATTGGAGAATTCAAGTATTGAACACTTACATTTTCACTTCAGGCC